TGACCATCATCTTTAAAGCGCTCCATGGCATCGGACCTGGATACCTTCGAGACCGCCTCCTGCCGCAGATTACCCCCCATCGACCTGTACGCTCCCACAGAGTGGGTCTCCTCAGGGTGCCGTTGGCCAGACAGTGCCGGCTGGCGACCCCAAGGGGGAGGGCCTTCTCTGTGGGAGCTCCCACCCTCTGGAATGAACTGCCCCCAGAGATCAGGGTGATCCCTGATCTCCCTTCCTTCCACCGCGCCCTTAAGACATGGTTGTTCCAGCTTGCGGGACTGGCCTAGGGGAAACTTTTAGAGGGGTTTTAATTATATTTTAATTAGATTAAATTTAAATATTTCCTTTTTAATTAATTTTAAATTGTAATGTTATTTATGTATTTTATCTGATTGTTAGCCGCCCTGAGTCCGCAAGGAGAAGGGCGGGATATAAATGTAATAAAATAAATAAATAAATAAATAAACATAAGGATTAAAAGTTGAAGTGAGACAACGGAGAAATTTAATACTAATTAGTGGAACTTATTTTTGAAGAGCAAATCGCATTGAAATTTGGACTTTAACTGACATATATCTGGGTAAAGTGACTAGTGGACGTTTTGGAAATTTTGGATATATAGAAGAAGAAATTATACATGGAACAGAAATAAAATTAATTAGCAATTTATATAAATACTTATTGAGATACAAAATGGAAGACGAGGTTGTCAAAAGACACAATGATTAGATGGGCAAAAAATTTCAGATATAATATAGAATTGGAGAAATGGGAAAAAATATGGGAAACAAACATAAAATTGACTATGTCTGCGGCATTCAAGGAAAACCAATTGAAAATGTTTTACAGGTGGCATCTTCCACCAGCAAAGCTTCCCAAGATGTTCCAGAACAATTCGCCAACATGTTGGAAATGTAAAAAAGTACATGGAACGTATTATCATATATGGTGGACATGCCCAGTTGCGAAAAAATACTGGACTATAATAAGAAGATGGATGGAAGAAATAATAGACCAACCCGTAGACTGGAAACCAGAGATCTTTCTGCTGGGTATTTTAAACAGAAAATATAGTAAAGAAATACGGTACTTAATTCTACATATGACAACGGCAGCAAGAATAGTATATGCACAGTTCTGGAAAAATGAGAATATACCATCAAAGAAGTGATAAGAAAAATCCTGGACTGTGCTGAGATGGACAAATTAACAAAAGAGATAAAAGAAAAGGAAGACACAGAGTACTATCTAATATGGAATAAGTGGTATGACTGGTTGGAGATTAGAAATAATAAATGAGAATAAATGTGGAAAGGTCAAAAATGGAAAATGTGTGTATAATAAATGTATAGTAATAATATGTATTATTTTTAGTATGAAGTATAGTATGAAGGAAGAAAAATGCAAACAAGAAATAACGGGACAACAAGGACAAATATATCTAAAGAAGAATAAGGGGGGGAAAAATGTAAATAATAGAAGATTACCGTTACAAAATTGCTGTTAAAAAAAGGAGGAGTGTACACTGTGTGTGTATGTGTGTTATGTTTTGTTGTTTTTAAAAAATAAAAAATTTTAAAAAATTATAATAATCCAAAGGTCTCTTCTCTCTCAAATGAGTCAGTCCTTTCCCTCTTATGCTCAGCAGAGCTATTTAAACATGTTAGTGATCTGTCTTCAAAAAGCCATTTTATTAGATCTTTCACATAATCCATTGTAGTTAACTGTAGTTAAAGTGCTAACATAATCTGTTCCTATTGTTTCTCCTATTTTCCTATTGTTTCTCCTGTGTCAAATTAGAAATTCTTTGTAATATTTGTCACCTTATACAGTACCTACATCAGTGTAAGATTTATTATAGAATTTGTGCGGTTCTAGCCCTTTCCAGATGTTTTGGATTACAGACTGCACTATTGCCCACTGGTGGCATGGGATGATTTGAACTCATGGTTAGATGGATGTTGTAGACCAGTGCATTCAGAGGGTTCCACATAACGTAAGACCGATGTGGATGTATATTGAGACAATAAAACACAGTAACTAAATATGACTGAGTTAAATATAATAAAAAATTAAGACAGCAGCAACCACAATTTATACTCTGAATTAATAATAATGTCATTTTAGGGTATTCATGTATTTATAATAATAGCATTCAACATTCAGTTATGGAGAAATAGAAGAGGGTTAATTTGGAAATGTCTGCTTCAGAAAAGGGATAATTTGTGTGTTTCATTCAAATACACTCAGCACGCGCATCCTTCCTTGCCTTTCGCTACACGCGTTGTTTATCACAGAAAATCCGGGAGCACGTGGCCTAACAGTGGAGTGCCAATGCAGCCGCTTGGCTTGATGGTTGGCGGGTTGATTGGCGGGAGAGAGAGAGAGAGGATTCCTTATTTGTCACTAGGCAGCAATTTAGCCATTCCTTAGCAGGCGCGCACCCGAGGTTGCCTGGAGACCGAGGCGCGCAGGAAAGAGAGGCGGGGGAGAGGGGGTTACGTAGTGACGTTAATTCTATATGAGCGCGAGCGGCGGGAGCTTGGGTCTTTTTACCGCCGGCTGCGAGACGTTTCTTCCTCAATCCTGAGTCACTGCGAGACCCGGCCTCGCGCAGGTAACCGAGACGCGTGGCTTCGAGGGTGGGATCGTGAAGATCACAGGCCGCCCGCCCGCCGGCTTGATATCGATCTCGGCCCACCAGTTGCAGGGATCTTCGCGTTCAGTCGGCACCGAGGAGGGGGAGAAAGCGGGTTGAGGCGGTGCCCTTGGCCGTTGGTCTTCATGTGTGGGAATTGTGCCTAACTTCGCAGCTGTGTTGCTCGAGTGGGAGACTGCTCGAGCGCGCAAGGGTGCCAAGGCCATTTTTCTCCTTCCGTCCTCATCACTTTCGCCTTAGGGCAAGGCCCATGGCTGGGCGGCTTGATCTGGCTTGGCTCGGCCGGGCCTAGTCTGGCCGGCTGAAGCACAAGCAAACACGTGGGGAACAGGCAGGTCTGGGCCGTCTCCCCCCCCCCCCCAGTCGGTGACCTGTAAGTGGCGCTGCGTGGATTAAAACCTCTTACTAGGGCTGAAAGGTAAATAGGATTTGCCGCGATGGGGGTAGGGAAAAAGGGGGTCGAAATAGGCGGTTGATTTTGATAGTGGGTCCCCGGGAGAGGCTGGGTGTGGGCATTTGGGGAGGGTGCGCGTGGCGGTGGGGAGTCTATCACTCGTGTTCCCTGAGGGAATGATGGGTTTAGAGATAACTTTACGCTGTTTTATAATTCCCCCCCCCTTGCGATTTAAAGGCAGTTCCCATATGTAGTAATAAAAAGTCCTTGCTTTTCACTTTCCCTCCTTTTGCACAAAGACAGTGTTTATAGATCAAAATTTTCTGACTCGATTGATTTAATAGCTATTCTAAATGTACTTTATAAACTTTTGAGATAGTGTCAGGACCATGGTTGTTTTAGACAGTATCAGATTAACTGATAGGGTGGCTGCACTTTAATATAGAGGACATGGTTCATGATACGGTTTTTAGGGCAGGGCAGTATAAAAGCAAGATTAAAGTGTCTTGAAATACTGTTCCTTGCTTCATTGTTTTTCAGTAGATAGCTGGTTGTATTTGATTAGAAGTAGGACATGCAGTAGTGTACTACCACTATTTTCTTTTTGATGTAACAAAAGGAGATGTGTAAGATGACAGATACCATTTCAGTACAAGATTAAAAGGTAATCTTTGTAATGGTGGGTTTTGAATATGAATTAGCAGAAGGCCTGAGGTCATAAAATATAAGAAAGGTAGCCAAAGAATGCATATACAGAAGACTTAATGTGTGCTTTTTAATGTACTATTTAATATCTAGAAAGGATGCAAATGATACTTGGCATGATCTTAAGTTCTTGATTTTTTGCATTCTTTGATGTGGCAAGCAAATTTGACTTTAAAAGTTGGCTTCAAATCTCTCATGACTTTCCAATTCAGACATTTTGGTTGGCCAATGTGTTGTGTAGAAACATTTTCACAAATTGATATTTTAAATGTCAAAATAGTTTTCTTGGTTATTACACATCTAGGTGTTGTCTATTAACATTAATGTTAAATTTTGAGACATAAAACCCTAATTGTTACAAAATCTGTAGTAATATTTCTTTTAAATGGTTGGCAGTTCTTGGCAAGTTACTTCTGGTTATCCTTCTGTAAAATGGAAGTAATTAATACACCTGAAGATGCACGTCCAAAATTATAAAAATGCATTGGGACTAGCAAAGTAATGAATACTAAGAGTTTTGACTCATGAGGATATTCTACTGCGTGTAAATATAAGCATTATTTAATCAACTTTATTAAACTGAAAGTTTCCAGATAAACTGAATTGCATTTTGCATCTTTCCAGGAAAGCAGGTTCAGTTGCTATGTTGAATCAGAAAAGTGGTCCTCCCCATTTACAATCTGGTCATGTCTTAGAGTGCTTTAACTGAGGTTGGTTTAATTGTGTTTAGTAATAGTAATAAAAGGTTCTCATTGAACCTTCTCATTGAACAAACACTTGTTTAGCAACTATTCAAAGTCATAGTGTTGTATGAGGGTGACTTACAACTGATGAGTTACATTGTAGTTGCGGATGTTGGAGTATCCCTGCAATCACATGATCACAATTGAGGCATTTGGCAACTGGCTCACAATTATGACATTGCAGTGTCCCATGGGCACATGATTGCCATTTGCTGCCTTTACTGCCAGCTTCTGACAAGCAAAGTCATTAGGGAAGCTGGCAGGAGATTGCAAATGGCAATCATGTAACCATGGGACACTTAGGTAGAATTCACCTAACAATGATAACTGGGACTGTTGCAACTGCGAGAAATACCTGTATAAACTTGATATTACTTATGGATTGCAGTTCATATAATAAGTAAACAAACTGACCATTTCAACACCTGATGTTCAGAACATAATACTATGGTATGTACATAGGCCAGTGATGGCGAACCTTTTAGAGACTGAGTGCCCAAACTGCAACCCAAAACCCACTTATTTATCGCTGGGTGGCCGTGGGCGTGGTGGTCACGGCAGACTGGGTGGGCGGGGCCAGGGTGGTGGGGGCCAGTCCTTCACCGTCTCCGGGGCACAGCACGCGTGCCCACAGAGAGGGCTCTGAGTGCCGCCTCTGGCACGCATGTCATAGGTTCGCCACCACTGACATAGGCTATGCCTATATAACATAGGCCTATGGACTGCAGTGTGACCTGCCAAACAGTCTTATATAGCCCACTGACATTATTTAAAATACTACATAAATTTGCTGCTGCCAAATGTCACAGCCACCAGGAAGGTTCCACTGCTGCTGCTGCTGCTGCTCTGAAAGACACTGCCAAATGGCACCAATGTCTCCATCTCGGTTGTCTCTGCTTCAGTAGCTACTGAACAGTTCATCCAACTACTCCTTTGCAATCTGTGATTATTTTTAACTTATCAGCGTGGCCCTTTCCCCTCCACAAATTGTGCAGGCCTAGCATAAGCTTTTAAAATAACACTGCAAAACAGTTTATGTTCAGTAACATTTATATGCAAATATTAATCATGGCCAAAGTAAAAACAGAACTGAGAAAGTAGCTTTTAATGTGTTTGTATACTGCTGACGTTCCATGTTTTCAGTATTGGGTATTTATCATACAGTATATTGCCTGTATGGTAGCGCTTAGTATAAAGATCATTTAATAGTATTTGCATAATTGATCTGTATTGCCCTGATGATCAGCAAAACCTAACCGGAATACCCATGTGGTAATTAATGTAGGCATTATTCTCTTGGGGTCAGGAATTGCTGTTTAAAAACATCCAGTTATATTTCAAACACCAGTAGAAAATTAGAACCTAATTTCTGTCCTTCTCTTCTGGAGTATTAAATAGAGCAATTAAGATGTCTGGAGTGTCTATTGTTCATAGACCTCCTTTCCCAATAATGTTGTGACACAGAAGTAGGCTTTGTACATTAAGCAGATACTTTTAATATGTGGATTCTGTGCCAGTGGTGAATATAAGAATTTTGTTGAATAAGACTAGTCCATCTTAAATTCAGTATTCTGTTCCATAATTAGACAGATTATGGCAAACTGAGAAAGAATGGGTGCAATATCTTTCTGGTTTTTTCCTCTAATAATTGATATCATGGAATAGATAACCATACTTTTTCCAAACTCTAAGCACCTTATTTTAAAGTGCACAAACCATTATTGCCCACAATATTATCCCAAGCATTGTAGTACTATACTATAGATATATGTCAATGTAGCAATATTGATATTTTTATTTTTGATAGTTTTCTTAAGAATTACCTAATAGGGATTTCCTCCTCAGTAGCTGCAACCTAGGTTAATGTATCATTTTTCTGTTCTGGGCTCCTTTTCGCAATCACTTTTAGTTTAGATTTCATAGTATACAGTACTGTAGGGGGATAGGATCTTTTCCTCAATTTTATGACTTTCAAAAATTTTCATGAGATTGGCAGAATTGAGTCCTTACAGGAAAGTTAAATTGCATGGAAATATTTATCTTACAAATAAATTTGCTGAAACTGGAATCTTGTCTCACTGAAGTTCTGGTTCCTATAATATCGTATATCATACTCAAAATGTGTTGGAAAATAAAATTTTCAGCCCTAGTTATAGTCAAGAGTTGCTCTACTCTGTATGTATACAGTGCTCCTCTATTTAAACTCTAAAGATTCATTTCAGCACTGTTTCACAACCAGGTAACTTTTGAGATGCTTGGGTTTTAACTCCTAAAAGTTGTGCAGATTGGGCAGATATTTTTTATTTACAGAGTACAGGTAAACTTGAGTTATGACCATAATGGAGCCTGCCTAACATGATCATAACTCATAATGGTCGTAAAATGTGTCGGTCATATGACTGACCCTAATTTATAGCCTTTTGTTGTGGCAGTCATTAAGCAAATCACTGTAGTTTTTAAGCAAACACTGTCCATTAAGTTTAAGGATGTGGTTTTGCCGAAAACGGGAAGAAAATGCCATTTTTTGGCAAAAACATAAAAACCATAGTTATGTATCAGCAGGACTTCCAAATGGCTATAAATGTAGTCTGGTTGTCAAGCGGCCAAAGTGCAATCATGTGAACATGGGAGGCACCATGGAAACTTCAAATCTGGGTTGTAACTAACTTCCAGGTAGACCTGCTGGAACCTTGGTTGCTAAGCAATTGGTCATAAATGGTTGCTAAGCAATTGGTCATAAATCGAGGACTACCTGTATTAGAATCTTTTAACAATTTGAGGAAAATATTTAGAAATTGGATTACTAGAAATTGTTGAGAATAATATGATTTTTGTGGAAGATTTTTCTAGAGAAAGGAGTCTTGGTAGTCCTTGACTTACGACCACAGCTGACCCCAAAATTTCTGTTGTTAAGTGAGACATTTGCTAAGTAATGTTTGCCCCATTTTACGACATTTCTTGTCACAGTTGTTAAGTGAATCACTGCAATAATTAAGTTTAATAACTTAACCTGGTTGAATTTTGAACATGTGACCATGAGGATGCTGCGAAGGTCATAACTGTGAAAAACAGTCATAAGTCACTTTTTTCAGTGCCATTGTAATTTTGATCAGTCACTAAATGAACTGTTGTAAATCAAGGACTACCTGTATTTGGGGCCTTTTTCTGGAAATTGTGTTCTCTTGAATATTTAAGAAAGAATATTGTAAAATGTCGGGGTGCAGGAATTAGCTTGATGTTATTAATAATCTATTAATAAAATATTTATTCTTTCCCAAAAATATAATAACTACATTTACATTGATATGTCTGCTAAGGGTGGGATTATAGGATGTGGTTTATGCAGGCTTAGGAGGACTTTGTATCTGTAAATCTTCAAGATTTTCTGTGGCATAAAACCTTAAGGACATTTATAATTTGGACTGTCATGATGTGTTACTATATAAATTATTATTTGATGGTGAAGTGATGTATTTCAGCATTATAATTTTCATTAATATTCCCTTCAAACAACTTTAGACTAGTGAATTGGAGTGGGCAGAAGAAATATGTAATCACTTATGTATTCTGCTAGCTTTATTCATTATGATTATAATGTCTTTCTAGAGTATACAGTACTTAGAATTTTTTTCTGATCTCTGCAGAAGAAAAAGTATGGATACAGTGACTTGTTTTAAGCTATAGGGCTAAGAATAGGGATTGTGCATAAATAATACTTAAGTAGAAGTTAATGGCAATGACATATTCTTAATTTTATTGTTCAAATAGATCACATTTATTTTTAAACTTTGATTAAAATTAGTTTTTTTTAATATGAAAGACCAACCATTTAATGTTAAGAATTGCAGATTTGACATGAAGACATTCATACCATAGTTTTTTTTTAAGTGGAATTGCTTTCAGAGGAATTTTGCTGTATTCAATCAGTCTTTTTTCTTTTCTTAAGAATGGTAGGGGAAAAGGTACAAGATGACAGCAATAGTTACTCATAGACTCTACAGATTGGACAATGTCCATGATGTATTCACGATTCTTCTGACAACTTATTTAGACCTTAATAGAAAGTTTAAGATTGATCTTTATGCTACTTTAAATATCCAGCTAAAGCCTGATGACTTAGCCAAAAAGTACTTGAGTATAAGTTCTGATGTCATCATGTGATGTTGCTTATTCTAGCAAAACCTTGTGTTATTAGTATCTTAAATTAACCTCATTGCTATTCTTTTTAGTGGAGAATTCAATGAAAGATTAAATGGCTTTCTCTGCAATGCAGAAAGATAAGAGTGGATAGGATGTATAAACTGAACTGGAGCAGCAGATTTTGTTGCCATAATCATTCTCTGTCAAATCAAGGTACATCACTGATAAAGCAATTACTTGAAGTAACACCTCCCACCCACCATCATATTTAATTTTTTTCTTGGATTCAAAAACAAGCAGCAGAATTCTTGTCCTTCTCTTTTGTTATGTCAGTCAGCTCCCAGCTATATGCAAAATTTCAAGTTCTGATTCTGAAATCTTCCTCCTTTTTTTCCTCCTTCCCTCCCTCTCGTTCCTTCTTCTATTCCTTCCTCCCACCATCCCTTTTTCCCCTCCCTCCCACCCTCTTCCTTCCTCTCTCTGTTCCTCCCTCCCTTTTTTTCCTCCCACCCACTCACCCACCATCCCTCCCTCCATTCCGTTCGTTCCTTCGCCTTCTCATCTCTTTCCTTCCTCTGCGCTCAGGAAGGGGTGATGGGAGGGGGAGAGATTGCCAGTGCAGCCATGTTGCCGCTGGTCTTGCTAGGCTGGAAGTGCTGGTGAGAGGGGTGGCGATGCTGATCTACAACTTGGTTGCGTCCATCAAAGCCAGAATGTGCTCAGCCTTAGATTCAAGGGGCAGCCTTGCCTCTTTCCTGCCTGCTGGGTGTGCTCACGGGAGACGGCCAGTGTTGGCGTCCTTGGGTGAAGTCAGCCTGTGGGGCAAGACAGCCAGCAGGGACACCGGACTCCGCTTGCGCGTGCACCCAGGGAGCAAGGTGGGGCTGCCCCATGGATCTAAGGCTGAGCACATTCCGGCTTTGATGGACGGAACTAGGTTGTAGATCAGTGTTGCCACCCCTCCCACCAGCACTTCCAGCCTTGCAGCCACGAGGCTTTCCTTTCACTGGGACCACCCCCACCCGCCCATGTGGGATAGCGAGACCGGCGGTAGCATGACAGCACTGGCAATCTCTCCCCCTCCCATCACCCCTTCCTGAGTGCGGAGGAAGGAAAGAGATGAGAAGGAGAGAAGGAAGGAAGAAAGGAACAAAGGAAACAAAGTTACACGGGGCAGCTCTGGTATCAGCAAGGAGCTGCCTTGCTGCCTCTGCCCTGCCCCCTGGGTGTGCGCAAAGGAGACAACCAGCACTGACGTCCTGAGTGAAGTCAGCCTGTGGGGCAAGACGCCGGACTCTGCTTGCGCGTTGATGGATGCAACCAGGTTGTAGATCGGTGCCTGGTTGGCCTGGGCCAGGCCGAGGTGCGGTGGGCCGATCCTTTGCTGTTTCCAGAGCAGGTCCCTGGGCCGGACGGAACCACATAGCGGGCCAAAACTTGTGTTTGGCATGTCTGGTGTAGAGACGTCAGAATTGTTATCATCTCATTAAATACTGTTTGGACAATGACCTTACATAATTCATTCAAGTGAAATGAAAAGCTATACAAGAGCTTGTGTATTGTGTATGCAGATATTTCTGTGTTTGAAACAAAATTTGGAGGTGTTTGAATCTAATGAAATATAGTTCTAAAATTATGATACAAATTTCTTTATCAGTGCCTTGCATATAATATTTTTATGTAGAAGGGCTGTGTTTGAGGAACCTTTGAAAAGGCAGTCACAGTCTTCTAGACATATATTACTCAAAATAGCTGGAAACTATTACACAAATGGAAGATAACATCACTCAATATAAGTGGAAGTATGAAAACTTTGATGATTTGTTAAATCAATTCGATTACCAGTCAAAATATAGAAACATAGAAAACTGATGGCAGAAAAAGATCTAGTGTCTTTTGAGTCTGCCCTTTGAATTTGTTTTTTATTTTTATTTTTTTTATTTTTTATTTTATTTTTAATTTTTGTTGGATGATGAACATGTGTTTATTCCAGTTACTAATGATTGATCTATTACTTTTTCTCTGATGTAATACTTTCTAACATTACTTTTGAATTTCCATCCTATCAGTTTGAGGTTATGTCCCTGTATTCTTGATTTTTGCTTAATATTGAAAATACTGCCTTTTAGTAACTTATTCACAACCATAATAAATTTAAAGGTTTCAATCTTGTCACTCCTTTCCCATCTGTCCTCCAGGCTGTACATATTCAGTTCCTCCAATCTCTCCCAATATGTTTTGTCCCTCAGACATTGCACCATTTTTGTTACCCATCTCTGGACTTGCTCAGTCTTATCAATATCTTTTTTTAAGTGGTCTTCCACTAAAGCCAGCAAATAGACTCCAGAGAAGCCTTTGAAGAAGCCTGCTATTTGATGACTTAATGTAAAAATTGGGCTTTACTAGTAATGTCTTAATTGACAAGTAATTTTAACTAAATATTCCACAGTTCTAATAACACTTAATTTTGTATATCTGTTCTTCTGGTAGGAACAAAAATACAATATATTCAATATATATATATATATATATATTCAGTAATAACAAATGCTTTAAATTATTATTTAACACAATCTAGCATTCCTGAGTATGCAGCTTATGTACAAGAAGCAACTCTGCCCAGTTAACAATGACCAGTTATGTGAGTCTGTCACGGATATCTCTGCAAATGAGTAACAATATTGTAGAAGCAAGTGCTAGGATGAACTAGATCTTACAAACAAGAACAATGTTTCAGAACATTGTTACAATTTTCACAGAAAGAAGTGAATAAATTTTTACATGCCATAATCACACATTCTCTTTGTTAATAAAGATAAGAGGGAGTTAATTGTGTTGCAACAATATCAATTAAAATTATCTATTTTGAAACAGAGTAGCAACATTCACTTTCCAGTGAAGTGGAGTTCTTCCATTCATCTTTGTGGATAGGTTTACCTTAGTATTGCAGAGCAATTCTGAATATGTAGGCAACTTTCTTTTCAGAGTGCAAACTATGGTTTGGAACATCAGAATTACTTCTGTAATACACCACTGCTTATTTCCACATTGCTACTGAGAAAGGTATAAAAATGTGTCCATGTAGTTGCTAGGAGATGTTCAAGTTATGAGTATCTTTTTAGTGTACCAAGATACATATTGGGTTCTTGCACCATTCATAATGTGTAGTGTTACATGTAATTTAGGAATTTTACTTAAATACTTTTCAACCTAATACTTTGTTTATGATCATACAAAAAGAGGAGGGCCATAGTCCTGACAGATTTTAAAATGCTTACAATACCATACTCTCCCAGATCCATTGCAACGTAGTTCAACATTAGTATAATTTCTGTTTAAAGCAATTTTAAATTATTTCTTTTCTTTTCTTAGAGGTTTGCTGAGGTCTGGAAATATGGCAGACATTGACAAGTAAGAAGACAACTTTTTCCCATTTTGATTGCTGTTAATTTTTGAAAGGGCTTAGATCAGCAAAATTCACCCTTAACTTTCACCTTGCTATGTGTGACATTTAATGCCAGATTCAGACAGTTATGCATATTTGCTTTAAACATTAGATAGTAATGCTTTTATGTTTGCAAGAAAATGTATTTTAAATTCAAAGAGTTGATTCAGGTGTATCATGGTGGTTTGTTTCATATTGTAAAAAAATGAACAAAGATATTTTCTATGTTGCCCTTTGACAAACTTTTGAGGATAAAAAAGATGGATATATGATTGTCAAACATCTGTATCATAACTCAGTTTTCATAAAGGAGCAATATGTTCCTCTTCCACCACAATATAAATAAAATGCTTTTTTACTAAATATATGTATTTGATTTGGAGCACTTATTGTGGTAGAATAATATTTAGTGATCATAAATCCTTTTAGGTATTTGCTTACTTGATGGCTGCTCCCTAAAATGAATAAATTCTGCAAAAATAATTTGATAAATTTGCTATAGAATGTAGGTTGTCCTCAGCTTAGGGTTTTAAGCACATAACTGATGTTAAACATAGTAATCTCAGGCTTGTAATACGAGCTGAAACTTGACAGTAGATTTTTTTTTTAGAATTGCCATGCTTTTGATTCAATTCTGAAAAGGTTGCTTTGGAGCACACAAAGGTACAAACCTTCCATATCTCTCCCTAAAGCAGCTGTGTATTTCTTTAGGACTGTGATTGCTTTGAGATGCTTTTGGGGTTCATTGCCTGCTTTAAAGCACCTTTTTAGAATAAAAATCAAAGCAACGCACAGTCCTAGGTTTTTATAAGCAGCCCAATCGTTCTCAAGATGATGATGATGATGATGATAATAATAATAATAATAATAATAATAATAATAA